CCAAAAAACTTGCCCTTTGCTCTCATCACTGAGATGCTGGTGGTGATATTTACTGTTCCATACACCATTCTTAAGTTTGTTGAGATTGTAATGCTGTACGTGCGGCAAGTAGGTTTAAAATATTTTGTCAGGCTACTTCTGTCTAAGAAGCTTTAACATTTCTTCTTCAGCGAAGTGGGAGCTAACATTTCCTCTCTCGCACCTCTTTGCCATGCTGTCACAAGCCACCACACAGCCTCTGGAGAATTCACACACCTCGAGGATGTGCCGCCAGCCAACACTAAACATTCATCCTGAGCACAGGAGGGTACACATGATTCCCAAACTCTAGGTTCTCCTAGGTAATCAATATTATGATATTTTATTGTGAAAGAGAAACAAAGTAAAGAACAGATTTCCAGCAAACTAAATGTGCAGTGTTGATATATAAATCCTCATAAGTTTATCTTTACATGAATGTTTCTTCTGGCTTCGCCTGAAGATTGGCTGATTCTAGCCACTCCTTTTGCCCCACAGAACAGTTTCTGCTTCTTGTCCCACCAGTTTCTTTGCCCAGTGACTACAGCTGTAAAGGCATCTACTCCAGGAGGAAATGCCTAAGGACACAAGACAGCAGAGGAGAGAAGGGTGGTGGCGGCTAAGGGACTCCCTCCTCAACCTGCTTCCTCAGCGTGTTACCTCCCCTTAAGAGCAGACTTCATAATCACTGTCAGGAGGGGTTCAGGGCATCACATGCCATCCATCTCCTGCTGGCAGATCCACACACAGGGGTTGAGACAGCTCTGCTGAGAACGGAGGGAGAACCTGCTCTTTGGTATAGTCAAAGGGCGCTTGCTGCAACAAGCCTAGGAAGGTAAGAAGTGTACATGCTTTGGGATTTCACAGCTGCTGCTTCCAAGAAAAGAGGGAAGAGGAAATTACAGTTTGCCTAAGAAATCCCTTTTGGATGAATTTTGGAGGACAACCCCTATTTACTCATTGACGACAGCATGGCCCAAAAAAGATCAAGGTAGATGAGTTTAAAAACCTCCAAAAATGAGATCCAAGATCGAAACCCTCCAACACCGTGACCCAAATACACAGTCATAGCTTTTCAACACAGGATAAAAAAGGCAGAACAGAAATAGCAGCTTCAAAAGGAAGCCACAAACAACTCTGATATCCAGAATAGACCAAAGAGACGGATCAATAGAAAAAAGTTTTCAGCTGCCTTCAACAGTTGAAACATCCTGGGAGTAAGTTCCCCAAATTATGCTTCCAAATGGCAGTGGATAAAACCTACATTAATCACAACGTGGTAGTTCGCGAGCCCGGTATGGCTGCCCTAAAGCCCTGCATGAAAAAAAGTAGAGAATAAGTATGGAAATGAAGCAAAGAGGGTGGGGCAGGGAGACTCTGAAAATATTGGTCTTGGGAAGAATAATGAGGAAGCAGAGAAACAACTGTGGCTTTTACTGCCTCCACAGCTGGCATTTTGTTGTTGTTTGGTTGGTTTTTTATTTTTTAAAAAAGCAACACTAACATCTTTGTTCACACACTGGTATGGCTTAGCTCCAGCAGACACATTTCTGCACTTGTGGAGGCCATAGGCATGGTGAGCAGGTAGTGCATTGCCCAGGAGGAAAAGAAACCAAATAGAAATGAGTCGTAACTGTCAAGAAAACAGTGCTACCACCGAGGGCAGAGGGTGAAAGAGTGGCAATTATCTTCTTCTAGGAATTAGCCACCTGACTTCAGAAGTCCCAGCTGTTTCTAGGACCTTCAAAATATCCCCAGTTTTTCTTTAAATTGCTGCCTATCCTCTGCTTTTCACTGGCAACATTCAGAGTGACAAGGAAATTATCACAGCACCCAAACAGAAGGAAAGCAAAGACAAGCCCGAGACAAGGCTGGCCTTTTAGGAAGGCCGATTCAGGTGTGGAAATGCCACATGCAAGCATTAAGAGCCTTTTCACAATGTACCAGTTTCTTTCTCGCATACACACGGGTCCAGGTTGGGGGAGGGGGGGTGAGTTTTCCTTTGGTTAGGACAGCAACTGAGGTGACCTCTGATGAACAGTATCTTCTCATTGCACGGGGCTCCGTCACCTCAAGTTTCAGAGCCAGTGTTTGAGCTTGCTCTTCATTGCTCAAACTACCTGCCGGAGTGAGCAGTGGTTTTCCTAACGAGAAATCCTGTGCAGCAAGTCTAAGGAAAGACCACTATCACAGAGCCAAATGCTGAGACACACATCAAATGCTGGACAAAACCCACCAGAAAAACATGTGTGTGCTGCACACAAGTGCCTTCATCTGCAAGGCACACGCTTGGCCATTTAGAAGGGACATAGCAACTCCCCTCTTTTCCATGAGTTTCTACCAGCATGCATCTTGTGGAGTTCAGAGGCCAAAACCTCTGTTTAATTCCCTTCATCTGATTTAATTGATGACAAGCATTTTTTCAAATTATAGACTCAATTATGTTTATGGGAGTCGGCACCTGCTCCATCAGCCCTGTCCCTCTAGAACTGCAGTGCTGATTCATGGAGGCCAACACCAAGAGCAGAAACCTGGGTGTACATCTGGAGGAGCAGTCGTCGGCTTTTGCACAGTGCTTGACTGTCCACAGCGCTGCCCCACGTGTCCGTGCAGACAGCTATGTGCCTAAACCCCTCTTAATCCAGGGAAATAGAGGGGAAGGAAAGCAAAAAAGCACAGTGACTTCTGCAGGTCACACAGTAATGAGTAACAGAGCTAGGAGTTTTAAATATTCTGCTTTTACTCGGCAAAAAAATATCACTTATGCTCTCCTTGCTGCCAGCCAATGTTGGAGGAACCCTAACCCGAAACACTCTGCCACAGAGCAGCTACCCCAAGAGCAGCTGTGATGTTTTGTGGCCAGTGGTGAACAGGAACCACCCAAGCGTTACCACTCGGTCTCACAAGACTCTTGTAAATGAGGTAAGCGTCATTAACCCTGCTTTACAAGCAGCAGCATTTCTGGCCCAAGGTTACAACTGCTCCTTGAGGGAGGAGCAAATTATGTCAGATAAGTTGCCTGGCAAAGCTCCTACAACCCACTACACTGGAGTGCAACTGTCATGAAATCTTGCAATGAATTCATGCTCTCTTCCAAGTCCCAGCAGTCACATAAGTAGTCACGGGACAATCTCAGCCCGTGGGGGCTTCGCATGAGCCTGCAGTCAGAAAGGCGCCCTGCGCCCCGCCGGAGCAGAGCCCAGGGGCGAGATCCGATGTCCCCAGGCTTTGGCATGCACTGCAGATGCTCAAAGATGCTCAAAATGAGCATGTCCTGCTTCCTTCCCTCCCTGGCAGAAAGTTCTCCCAAATCTGTTTTCTGTCATTGCTCAGTGAGACCAAAGACCAAAGGGCAGTGAAGATGCTCCAACTGCAAATGGCAGCCACCGGGGTTCTGGGTACAAAAGAGTTAGCTCCTCCTCCTGTCATGAGCCTGGGCACAAGAGGGGTGTGGGAGGACAGGCTCAGTGTGCGAGAACAACGCTGCAACATTTTTCAGAAAGGAAAGACTGTGAGTAAAAGCAGCGATTCACTCCTCAGCCTCCCAGCACTGAAAAATATATATAGTATGCAGACATCGGCTCATGGAGCTTGGATTTGTCAGGAAAAATCTCAAAATCTGGAAACTGGCCACCAGAAGCCAAGCCTGGGCACTGAAATACCGCATGTCGCACACCAGATGCAGTACAAAAGCCAAGCAGAGTAAACACACAAGTGCAGCACACCTCTGGGGCCCAAGGCTAATGAACAGTAATCAGAGACTTCTCTGTCATGGTAAGGAAGACTCAAAAGGAGAAGTAGGTTGCAAGCCATACATAAGGTTAAATCAAAAGGCAGTAACACTGGAAGAAATCATCCAAGAGGAGTTTTTGTGAAATGTCTGGATTGTTTACTCTAGGGTTAGCATATCAAAACTGCTGCCAACTTGGAGTGCATGGGACAGACCGGAGCACTACAGGGTCTCAATGCTGCTGTTTCTGAGGACATGGCATCAGATGGACAGCATCCTCTGTGTGGGAGAACATACGCATAAAAACACAGCTTGTTGTGTAACTCAGCTTTGCATGTACACAAACATATACACTTTTTTTTAAGAAGACACTGTTGCCATTGCCACTGCTGTATGCACCTGTATGTATTTTCTGCTGAGGCAGTATGAATGTACTGAAAATGAGTGAAACTCTCTACATGCACGTATAAACCATACAAACCCACACACCCAGTGAGCGTGGGCGACACTGAATACGTGCTTAAGCACTGAAAACCACTTCCAAAGGCTCTTTCTTCAGAATATTGTGGTGGCTTGCAGTAGTGAGTCAGTGAGATGCTAATAATGCTTAGCATCTGGCCCCATTTCAGGTGTAACATTTACACAGACAAAAAGTAAAAAAAAACCAAAAAAACAACAAAACCAAAAAAAAACAAAAACCCAAAAACAAAAACAGTGTGAAGTTTGTACCTTTTTTTATCCTGGCTCAAAGAACCTGTCAATCACAACCATGAATCACATAAAAGCAAAACTAAGGCTACGATAATTTTGCATTCCCCAGAAGAGGAAAAACACGCATACACAGTTGCATCTTGCTATGAAACACGGTGTGAATGTTTCAGCTGTCTCTGTGACACACCTAATTCAGCCCCCTCAGCTGTGTGGTACCTGAGCTGCACACAGCATTCCTCCCAGCCTTTGCTTGAAAATATCGCTCCTTAGCCACATGCCGGCTCCCCGGCCCCTTCTTTTCCCAGGCTTTAGTTTATATTTGTAGAAAATGTCTAGGTGCCGGCTTTCAACAGCAGTTGCCAAAGATCACCTTTCAGATGTCTATGCAACTGTTCAGGCAATCACTGCATCCCAGTTGCCCTGCTCAGAGGAAAGAGTTTTATATAAATGTCTCAATTTATATAAGCAGCTTGCTAGTTTTACAATATCAGGGAGGAAAAAAGAAAAAACCCCCAACAAACCAAAACAAGATAGACAATACCTGTTGTAACTCCATCTACTGTAAGACATGGTCCTGTTGCTGCCGACACCATCCATCTCTGGCTCGGCTACGGCACTTCCAGCATCGCTCGCCTCCCGCAGGCACCGGCTGCCGGCCTTGGAAATCAGCCACCTGCCAGGAGACGGGCCCACTGCGGGGGTGCTGCTGGACACCTCTGGCCCTCTACCGCGCG